TTGATTGGCGAAAAAAGGGGTGGAACAATGAGAAGAAAACCGTTAACAAGGGTCCGCAATGGGGCAAAGACCCACCTTGTGACTACCTAACAGATAGTCTAGTTGGGGGTAGAAACCCAATCCTGTGACTACCTAATAGATAGTCTATTTCGTGGCCCACCGTGGTGTTATGGGGGGCCGCAGCCCACCAGAACGTGCCACTCTGGCGCTCAAAAACGCCCGATAAGGACGCTAAAGGCCTTGTGACTTGAGCACGATCCCGTCTCTTCAGTCTAGGCACCCCCATGCATGAAAATAGCGGCAGGTGTCGCGTATACATTCAGACTGTAGCGCAAAATTGGACGTCTGCGCTCGTTCTCTCCCCGACATCTCTCTCCTTCAGGCTCAGGCCTATTACGGGAAAAGAGCGCCTTAGTGGAGAGCGGGGACGATAGCCGGCATGACTTTCCTCCTAGCAATCGCCAATAGGTTCTTTGGATCTTACAGTATTCCCCACATACGCATCCATATAAATAGAATTAATGAAGTCTCTTTTACGACAGGAATTTCGATAACACATCAGACAACAAAACTGTATGGAGTAAATTTAGTGTAATGCAAATAACATCATGTTGAAAGTTAGATTTGGTCAGAGGCATCAAACATCGGGACCCCGTGTATATTCATTGAACTCAACGATAAAATTATAATAATAAGGTAATATAATGTGATGAATCAAGCAATAGTATCCCACGGGAATATGTAGAGCAGGTAAACTTAACATTCTTGATCACTCTTTTTATGGGATGCACCACGCATTTCACTTCCAATCAGAATCGAAGTGGCATCTCGAGTGCGTTTTGCCCGACCCAGTGACTTGCGAGATCAGTCGGAACTACTAACTTCTGTTGATGGGCCAGGCAGCCGCGCGACGAGTTTCGACCAACTGCGTTGGGGGGAGAGAGAGAGAAAACTCACCGGTGGCGCGAACGCGGCGCGTGCCGAGCGATGCCGCTACGATGGTGCGGTGAAGGGTCGTAGCTCACAGTCCCTGCCTCACTGCGATTTCATAGATTAACCTCTATCAGCCCGTGTTCGCCTCCAATCGCTCAATTTCGCTTCACGCAAAAAACTTCGTTCTTGGCAACTTGCAATCGTTACATTAGCAGGTATTCTTAATTAACCCAGTTTCACTTATTATCACGCCTCAATTCCAAATTCGTTCCTTCAAACCAAATACCCCTTCAAACCAAATCCTCCTTCACTCAATCAAGTTAACACACTATTAGGACGAGCAAACTTCACAGATGACGCCAGACTACTTGCGAGCCCCCCCGACGGCCCGACGCCCATTGTCAGCGCGGACATTTTAGACTTCAAATTGTCATAACTTGCTGTGAGGTCCCGCAAACAACTATTGGAAGTTTGAAACCAAGTGCACACGACAACGTAGCCGTTGACTCGCGCCCATGCTCCTAAAGCTGGGGTGGCATCTTTCTTAGCGACCAACGCCCTTGGCTCGCGAATCGATGGTTTTGTCATATATGGTGCAGTTAGGGTTTTGCTCCGTGAACGCCCGCCGCCACTAGTGGGAGATGCTTCCGTCAACTTGATTAAGGTCGGCCCGCCCATTTCAAAAGATGGTGGCAGATGGCAGTTATTTAGAGGCTTGGCTCCAGTGAGGTATCCTTACGTGTTCACTTTGGAACAAGAAATAACATCTTGCCGTCTTCCTAATCCTAGTGTTGTTTCTCATTCATCGGCAAAGTGCCGTTAAGTTCATTGCCTTAAGACTGCAGTGGTACATGGCCGGCCTTTTTGTCGCGTTATCGCTGCGGTGACAGGGAGCACGCGACGCATGCGCTCGCCGGTAAGTTTTTCCGTCTGATAACTCTGCACCTATGCGGCATATGAGTGCCTCAAACACTCCGACTAAAAACGTGTAACTTACTTAGACCAGAAACCTTTTCCGCTCAATTTCGCACTGTCTGTTGCGGTTCAGCAATGTGACAACATGTGTAAATGTGACCTTTTTTTGAATGACACGTATTTAACTGTCAAATAGGAAGCGAACATCACAAGCATGATCACAGAAAAACAAAAAGTAAGTAGCAAGGTATGTATAGACGGCGAGGCTATCAATGTAAACGATCGTCAATAGTCAATTTCTCTTCCAATAGTTAGCAAGAAAGCGGGTTAATCAAGCGTAACGGTGAGTATTCCCCGTTCGGATCTGAACTACCCTTTCCCCTTTTAGATGACACCTTTTCCAGGCACTTGAAAAACAAGTTCACAGGTAACGTAAGGTGTAGGTGAGGTGTAAGGTTCTCGCCCTAACACTATAGTTCCAAATGACCTCCCGGCAGAGGAGGGAAGGCAGTTCGTCATAAAGATGCAGTTCAGCACACTTCACTCGCATTGAAGGCGGCAAAAGAGGGGTATATGGCGATTCACCCGTGGGTCGCCGTGCTGGTGGGCGTGGCTGGTGACGCCGCAGCTGCTGCGTACGAGTTGCGTTGTCTCATGACTCGTTCAGATTACAAAGGGATCACGAACTGACGGTCAGCCAAATGTTGGTCGAGAACGCCGTGAACTAACAGAAAATCCCTGCTCCAACAACAACCCATGGGTAAGCGAATGCAACTCTGAAATTGTTGCTCCATTCACCGCACGTCTAGCGCGTACGACCTGAGCGGCGAGACCCGGCTCACGATAGAATTGCTCCGCTTCTGGGGGAGGGGGTGTAGGGATGTCCGCCTAAGAGGTGTAGTTTAGCACTCAGCACGTGATTCGCAGAGAAGGCGACAAAGAGAGGTTACAAGCAGGATCATTCGCACTAGGACCCAACTCTTCAACGTGGTAATGCTGCAGCTCATCAAGTCGTCTAACTAGGAGATAGTCTGCTACTTTGCGCGCGATATCAGGCCTAGGATTACCAGTTTTTGAGCGATATCACGCCTCGTATGGCGAAAACTCATCCTCAAACCAAGATCCCTGGCTAGTTGACTCGACTTGCCACTTTTTCGTCAATCCAATTAGGTCAAAGTAGCCTACTTCCTTATCTCAAAAATTATCAACGTCCAAGTTTCGAGAATCACCGTTAGATCTTTTTCATTATTCAACGCTTTGGAATATGAAATGATATCAGCCATTCAGTGATTCTCAAGTCTCGATGCAGAAAAAGGTCATTAATCGATTATTGGTCCAAGACGCAGGAAGCCAGGACACAACTCATTAGACGTCAGAAAGCTGTGTCAAGTCAAGTAGCTAAGAATTCTAGGCAGTTTGCGCGCGCTGCTGCGTTTCAGATGTCCTGAACCACACTCCTACTCGGACTTTGCCTCTAACCTTGCGAGTTTGTGCATGTTGAATAGAAGTGAAACGATGGTTTGCATAGCTCAGCCGACGAGATAAGCCGTACGAGAGCAAGGGCACAGGGCGAGTGGAAGGTTTGAAGAGTAACTTCCTAACGGGCTGAATAGTCTTACCTGTCACAATTTAGCTCCCGATTAGCAACATAGGAATTAATGGGCTCCAAACCCAACTACCATACCTACTGCGTTACATGTAATTTGCCCACCGTTCGCTTGCTCCCAATAAAAGATATAATAAATACTTATGAACAAGAAATATAGGAGCAAATTAGCAAACTGAAAAGTTGCATCATATAAGGACACATGGAGTGATTGCAGCAGTCTCTCTAATTGGAATTAATTATGTTATAATTACAAGTGAATAAAATTGAAGCATTCAAAAAAACCATCAGGTGAGAATTGTCATGCTAATTAGTTGAAAAGCAAAAAAATACCTAGTGTGGAAGGCACATCAGTCCATTCAGGCAACAAGCAATTGGGACAACTTTTCTCTACACAGCGTCTTCTTTGCTCATTTGCAATGGATTCACATATTCAAATCCATCGAACTCGCTTTGGTCAATTTTGGCGATGACGTTCGGGTCATCAGGAGTCAAATTTGGAGCCTCATCTGTGAACTGGGTGTCGAAGTGTTGAAGATCGCGATCATTCTCCACGGACGGATTATAGGGAGGTGCAACTTGCCTCTGTTCCAACTGCAAACAAATTTTTGACTACTGCAACAACAGTAGTGCAGCACAAATCAATCAGCACGAATCATAGTAAGGCCGGAAATGAGAATGTTCCAGACAGCCGTACCGCTTCCCAGTACAACAGTGTTTTTGTGAAGAAGGATAGTATCTTTCATTTCTGTAAACAGATATCTTCAATGTGCTGTAAACGACATCCCATGTCGTTCTGACGGGTCCTTGAAAAAAACCCTGGTGGCATACCTTCGAATTGGTGCATCTTCAGCAGAACACGTTGTACTGTGGGGCAAAATTTGCAACTCCCGCCACAACTTCCCCTCCCGGTACGAGGTCCCATTCTCCGCGTTTCCTCTTTTCCTTACTACCTATCATTTTCTGAAACTCCCCGGCTTCCAGGGGGGTTAAACTCTCCACCTTTCCAAAAAAACTGCGCCGAGAGAGGGTGGGGTGAGGTGGCGTGGGGGTGATATGAAGCTGAAAAAGATACTAGAACAGTGCAACAATTCGAAAATCTTCTTTTAAAGGCGGATACCGATCCCCTCCCGTTCAGCAACCCAAACGATGCCCCTCCCTCCTGGCGAATCGCCTGATGCATGACGTGGGCAGTCTCGATTTCCACTGCTCATATGAGGTTGTTTCCAACAACTATTAAATTGGGCAGAACTTGCTCAGCAACCAAACGCTAGAGTGCTCTTCACAAACTCACCTTATTCAAGAACTGCTTTAGCACTGAAGCAGCTTTGACGGATAAACTGCGAGGTATCCTGATCTGTTTCTCAAGAATAATCTGCAAAGAGTTTTTTTGTTTTATTCTATGGTTCTTTGACACAAATCGAAACAAACTTACCACGAGAGTGAAAGATATATGAAAGTGGTAGAAAGCTCTAACTTTGGAAAAGAATAGTCTCTGTGTTTTGATCAGGATACCGGCAGCCACAACTATGTCGAGGGGGAACCGACGCAGCCATCAATTTCGTACTGTAAAAAAGGCGATGGATAAACGCAATTCTTACAAGAATGTGTTTTACAAATGGAATCGAGGAGTCTGAAAACTCCTTCAAGAGGGGCCAAAGCTGGATGCCTATTACGTATGAGCAGTGACGGCCAGATTCATTTTTGATCGGCATTATTAAAGTCGTGCCATGGGTTGGTGGCCTGAAGTTGGCATGTGCGAGAGTAGACCCCGCAAATTTTCCTGTTCTGCGCTCTATTAAGGTTGGGCATGGGGTAGGCGCCACTGCCTCGGTGGGCGGAGAGGATACAAAGTACAGCAGTGCACCTACCCCCCCCCCACCTCACCCCTATTAATAACAGTGCCACAGATGCTCGACAGAAAACGTACAAAACTCACATGAGCACACCAAGAGCCCACCAATCGACACTGAAACCGTAGTCTTCACCCCGAAGGATTTCCGGTGCAATGTAGTTTGGTGTGCCGCAGAACGTAGACGTGACATCTCCTGGCCCTATGTTCTCCTAAAAGTGGGAATCGTAGATGCCTTCTTTTCTCAAATATACCCGCAGAGTAAGGGATAATGTCAGGAATAAACAGAAAATATGGGGTTACCTTACACATTCCGTAATCTGTGAGCTTTACGTGCCCTTCTGCATCAATCAACACATTGTCGAGCTTCAAATCACGATAAATGATGCCACGGGAATGAAGGAAGTGTAGAGCCAGGATGATTTCACACGAGTAGAATCTAAAATAGTAACGAGTTTTAGAGGTGAACCGACACTTTTCTCCAACTCCAGGCTCTATTTTGATATAATTTATAAAGATCCGTTAAGATAAGTTTGTTCTTCCAAACTATGCGGCGCACCTTCTGGTTTATTTGAAATAAATAAATAAATCCCGGGAAAAATTCTTCATTCTATACAAGACTGAGCTGGAAGTGGTAAACTTTTGTGGGCGTTATAGAATGGGGGTTACACCCAAATACATAAGGCACTTTATTTCGCACTGTTTAGATCCTTAATTCGAAAAGGAGGGACGGCTCTGCTTGGGGAGGGAGACCTTTTGCTAGGTTCCGACCAACCGACTACCGATACGCCTTGATGAGACGTGTAAATTCATGTGAAGCCGTGCAGTAGCAGGAGGTTCGCTGACACTGAACAAGATTCTACAGGTCTCACCGTATATTCTGCGGGAACTAGCAGAAGGAACTAGAGAAAGTGCAAAATGTCCCTTCCAAGTCGGACAGAGTCAAAAATGTTGCTTCAAGCTACGAAGAGAGTTTAAAACTAGCTCATCGATAGGACTGCTACCTGTGAAATTGCGGCAGTTATACAAACTCACCGTGCATGGTCTTCAGGAAGTTTACGCTGACGCTGCATGTGAAACATCAAATCTCCACCAGGTACAAACTCAATGACAAAGAAGAGTCGTGATTCGGTCTATAATTCGATCTACAAATTAGGCCTTCCAAGAATTAAATAAAACAAGATGAAGTGCAACGGCATGCGGTGTCGAAACTTCAAGGAGGTGGGCATGATGGCTGGCGTGTTACCGTCATTGGTGGAAGGGCTGCGAGATGGCGTTCGGCCACATCCATCCTTAGCCGTTCCACCAATGACGTTGGCAGTAACCACCTGCCCCTTCCATTCAGTCCACTGCTTTCAATTCTAATCAAGGGTTTTCTTCGAGACATACCTGAAAACAAGAGTGCAGCCCTACTAGGAAAGGATAGTTCGAAGCGGCTTCGAACACTGATTTTTCCGTTTGCACCCAATCAATGTCCTGCAAGAAGTGAACACTTCACTAATAATGCTTCAACAAAAACCTTGAAATCTGAAAGCGAGCAATAAGAAATACCTCATCTTCATTGAACATTTGTTTTTTGATTATCTTTATGGCATAAATTTCTTTCGTTTTTATGTGTTCCGCTTGCACCACCTGAATTAAAAAGATTCTCAAGGAAAGCGCCAGTGTGCGGAAAGAGAGGTGATGGAGGAATAAATATGAAACACTATTGCGACTGATGGTGGCCACTCGTCGGCAAAATTTACTCCTCTGGAACAAGACAGCGCGCCAACCCCGATAATTTGCATTCCTTTAGGTGTGAGAAGCAAGAAGGATCACTTTGCTGCGCCGATGCATGGTCTCCATCATCACATTAGCTCCGAGTACAACTCAAGAAATAGGACCATGTGAGCGCGTCCATACTTCGCGTACGATCGCTTCTGTCACAAGATCCAAGAGATCGTACCGTGAAATACGAATGCGCTCTGGTACCTCAAAACTTTGGTTGCATACCTTCGCATAAGAGCCACGACCGATAACAGTGAGAAGACGGAAGTCACTCAGTGAAACGGACCATTTACTGGGTAATGAGCCTTCCGTAGTCTGGAAACAGCTTTGATTGGAACTGAGAAAACCCAGAATGCTTCTGAAATTGAGTAAAAAATGATGCAGACTGACCGCAGGTGCACAAGATGGTTGAACGGACAAATCCACTTCTGCTTCTTGAAAAGCTCCGTTATCGAGTCCGGTAAATGAGGCTTTTTCTCCACCGTTCTGAGATCCACCGTGATAGGCACTTGCAGGGTAAGCGCTGTTTTGTTGCGAAGGCGTTATCGATGGTGACAAAGCCTGAAACGAGAACATATGCGGAAAACGCAATGTACATCACGAATGAGTGTATGTTGTATCTATCCACTAATACATAATATTCCCGCTGTACTAGCGCTCCGCACTCTAATTCCACAACTAGTCCCCCTTAGTAGTTATGCTAGAGCTTTCTCTGAGAATCAGTGAGTGTTTCGCAACACCCACGTTACCATCTAACAATAAGGCAGCGCTCATAGACCGTATTCTGCGGCTGAATGTTGTTTGGCGCGATCGCCTTGCAACCGAAGTGTCGAAACATGAAAGAAACTGACTTTCCAAGAATTTTTGGGGTTCCAATATCCCAAAACTTCAATTGGTGCAGTAACGCTCCACTTTCTCCCCTAAGAAGTGCAGGGTACGGGAACGGGCTGGATTGCACTGATAGCCGAGATTCCACCTGCGCTATCTTCAGGGAATAGCAAAAGTTGCGATAGTATCAAAACCCCGCAGCGAACATGCAGTCAGTGATAGAGCACAACTGGGAGTAAAAGGGTGCATACAAATTCGCGTTTGGATATGCTTAGACGCTTGGCTGACACTGCGCAAGCGCAGGTGGAGTCGGGAGATCGAGAGACGGCACCCGGACATCACTACCCTCCAAAACCGTTCCCAACTTTTGAGTGGAGAAAGTGGCACAGTACTGCGGATCGGGAGCCATTCACCACCCTCATGGCAACGGCCAGAATCCAGGAGGTGAGCGACCGTTTGTTTTTAAATCCTTCCAACGAAGGTAAAGGAACTGGCTCTTACTGTTCCTTCATGTTAAATTACCCTTCACGAGTAGACCAAGTTTTCGGATTTATGACCAAGTCACGAGATGAAGGGTATTGATAAACCAGCCAAAAGAAGTAGTGGAAAAGGAGAGCATAACTTTCGAAAGTGTTCTCCAACAAATTTCATGAGCATAAAAGTGCTCAAACAGTGGAATAGTTCAACACACCTGCCCGCAGGACGTTCTGACTAGCCGATGACACTTCTTGTGAACGCAAAGACGACAGTCTGCACATCTATATCCCTGGCGACCAATTCCCCATATGTAATCGTTACAAATGAAACACTGGATCCTCCTGTAAATCGGGTGGTAATTTGTTTGCGGCGAGGATGCAACAATAATAAATGAAAGTAGGACAACGACGCCCGTTACCTATTGAGACGCTTTGCTTGAAATCGATGCCCATTGAATAGGTAAATTTTCTTCCACCGACGGGCTCCTCTACGATACACATTTCCTGAAAACGAGAACAGTTTTTGTTACAGTGGGGAGGGGAGGGTCATGGGATCTCTTCGGATCAAGGAGGAAAGTCTTCGCCGTAGACCAATCCATTTTTGGGTAACTCCAGTACCATGGTAACGGGAACTATTGAAATGTGGTCGAGGTCTCTTTGTGTGGCCTATGCCGACCTACGAGGTCAACCCACGTATCAGGTTATACTCCCCAGCGCGAATTTGGTACAATTCTAACCGTCCCTGGAGTCAGAAGAAGGCCTTGCATTGGCCCCGGGCACACGACTTCAGTAACTTCAGTTGTGCATTGCGAGTGCTTTGTTCTATGACAAACAAAACGAGCATGATTACAGGAACACGTTCTGTTACGTGATGAATGAGATAAATAAAAAAGTGAACCATGGAAACATTAAATTCGAATTTTCTATGAAATAGATTTGTGAAAATTACATGATAAAATTTCATTCAATCAGCCGTCCTGGAGCGGAAGCTTTTCCATCGGTAAACTGTAGACATTTTACCAAAAAAAAAAAATCTTTTTGTTGCCGCGAACTTGTTGCAAGCCAGATCTACTTCAACATGGACGTTCGTATGACCAGTCTGAATCATTGCAGTCAATAAAACGTGCTTTGAGCAGCTTGTTTTTCAAAACTGAGTTCAACTAGCATTTCACTAGAACTCTCAAATAGCATTTTCGCACATCCTCGAAGACTTAACAAGATTTGACCACTTCGTTAAGCCTATTTTTAGACATCTTAGCCGTCGTCAGAGGTCTGATATGGACAGAAAACAAATGAGACTTTGGAAGTCCTCAAAAGCTTCAACAGCTCTTCAAACAAATTTTCTAGGGCAGAAAACTAATCGGCTGACAAGCTCAATTGTTTCCATTCATTTCATTACTGGCGAAGGCGCCCAGACGAGGCGCGTAACGAAAATCTAGCAATCTTGTGGACTTGAAAATATGCTATAGGGATATTTACTATGCCAAGACTGAAAGAAGACCAAGCATGAAATTCAGATGGCATTGCCTAACCTGGGCTAAATGAATCAGGTTTAGGAAACCACCCGATTCGGACCTCCCTGCGGACCGTAATTTACGAAAGTTCCAGTTTAAAAAGAAAAGCCGCTCGAAGCATTGTAAATGTCCGAAAAACACTTCATACGTGCCAACTATACTATGAGAAAGATCCCAGCAAAGAAGATCGTCATTCATTTGGGCGGAAGTGGCGGGTGGCGCAATTACACCCCAGGGCGAATTAACTGTTAGAATTCGTGTCAACGAAACTGCTCCTCCCTCCAAAATTGGAACGAGAATCATCTGCGGACATACAAACACTGACTCATTTATGGGTAAACTCTCTCAGGTCACTGTATGGGCCTTATCGCACTAAAAAGTTACTTCGATGTTGAGTGGAAGTAAGTACCGTATCCTAGAAAGGGAATGATCGAGGGCGGAAACTTTATCATTTAGCTTTTGTATTTTCACTCACTGTCCTCTCCTTCACATGGAAGACCTGGTAGAGCAGGTTGACCGAGAAACACGTGAATATTCAGTTCAGCATCACCACTCTGCTGCAATATACGAACCGCTTCGTCCAGTTCTCGTTGACTATCAATCGAAACAGGGTCGCCTGGGATAGAAATACCATATAGTTAAAGGAGAAAAGGTATACAAAACCGCTAAAAACTTACCATCTTCATCGATCCATTTGACAGTTATTGGATGAGATGGTGGTTGCTGGCAAGCTTCTTTCAACAATGAAAAGAAGCTTTCTATTTGAAGAGGAGGACGAGCGTATAGCACTAGAACCTGGAACACGTGCAATCGATAAAACATCAAAAAAGAAGCATAGAAAACAGATGTCCACTATCCTCACTATCCTTATGGCTATAAGTCAACGTATGCACCGGACTTTAAATAGAGGAAGATTTGTAATATAATGCAGAACAGATGCCATTGACATCTGTGGGGAGTTCAAAGAAGTATTCGTGCAGAACTAGGACTACTGTAATGAAGACATAGTCTTCCCCTCAAGCTTAGAGGGGGAAGACGCCACGGGGTGAGAGAACCAAACTCAAGTACGGTAATCCTGTTTAGATGAAAGTTAGGCTGCGTTCATACTTTTTGGGAGAATCCGCAATGCAAGTATCGATCTAGCGTTTTGAAAGAATCGCCGTTTCCAGCGAATAAGCGGAAAGGAAAGCATACACCATCGAACGAGCCGTTTCAAGAGTTGAGAGCGCCAGGGTCTTGGAAATCGACGCTGGGGTTCTGAGGGAAAGCACGTATCATAGGTTAAAAGCCGACGCTGCCCGAAAACTCGTGATCTTGCAAACGGCCGATTATTCGGAGTCGCTAGGTAATGAAAGCAGCCTAGTGCCATTAATGAAACAATACATACTAATGAGCGTCCGCTCACAGTTTTTAGGGTTATAAAACATCCAGTAATTCTGTGAGGCTAACCAGTAACAGAAATCTCCCAAACAGGAGCTTCATTCAGTTCCCAGTGTAGTCACAGAATTGATGAAGGACTATAAGCAAATCCAATTTGGCTGCTAACCTATCTAGCTGGTTTGCGTCGCCTAGGTCACGCTGAAACCTCGTGTTACTGCAAAGAAAGACCCGAAAAATCCCGAAGAGGGAAAGGCAGTATCCACCGAAAGTCAAAGACTCCGATGGAACGTCAGTTGACTCGAGTCTCCGGTGGATGGGTCATAAAGACGTGGCCTTTCACTTCCGGGGATTTTTCATTCCCCACCGACGCGAAGTATAAAAGCGACTTTATGAATATCAAAGATACGGGCAACTACAAAACAATCTTTGATCAAAGCGTTCCCCCCTAATTCTATTGGAGGTCTCAATACTTAGCGAACTGATAGTCAAGGGTTTAGTCTTGAATTGCGGCCCACCAATGTATTCTTTCAAGTGAGCGCCATTTGCAATAGCACCATGTGGCTACAACAATGACAGGTTGGAAAGCATCACAATTTGTACTTTCGAAAAACAGTTATACAAGGGCCGAATTTCAATAGCTGTGTTGGTTGAGGGTGACTTTACCGATCCCTGTCAACGTACCAGGTCATTTTGTATGGATCTGAAAACTCTACTAGCGTACGAAATTATACGAGCCTCATTGTGCCTATTCGCATAGCGACCAGTAACGATCGACTCCACATGCAGGTCAATAGTACCTATATGTAAGCAAAACAAGCTACGATAAGGTACTAATGGGAGCGAAGGGAGGGAGGGGGGGGGGGAAGGGAAAAGTATTCGTGATCCCTCTCTGCGCCGAAGAAGGAAATCAACCCACATGGAGTCCCTTCCTGTTAGGTTCAGTTAAAATCCGCTTACCCTGACTCAGAATTGATTTCCTCGCACTTTCCCGAACTGCATGCTGTCCGATATAAATAAAAAAAGAAAAAATGGGATGAAAATGAAGTTGTACCCACTTCCTACCCATGTTTATGTGTTCAAGAATTCACAGGCCTGCACATAATGACCCAGCCGCATACAGGAATTAACGAAATGCAGCCCTACCTCATTGTACTAGCACTCTTAGGCCGCGTTCATACTTGTGACTGTGCAAAGTGAGCGATATGGCGATTTGGGAGACCCGGCGTCTCCGGCGACTGCTCGCCAAAGAAGTGGATGATATCGATCGACGGTGGTCGCTAACGACTTGCCACGTTTTGGGAGATTGAGCGATCCGGCGAGAAAGCCTTTCGGGATCGCCGAATCGCTCAATGTCGCAGTCCGCTTGATCGATATCTATATTTTCTCGTGCGCACTTACTCAAATCGCTCAACATCCTTAGTCGCAAAGTATGAACGCGGCCTCATGTGATGTCAAAGTCCTCAGAGCAAAACTGAAGCATATTTCGGAGTTGAACAAAAGAAAAACGGGTTCTGTATGCATGTCACCTCATGAAACAAGGAATTAAAAATTTAAGAAAAAACATACTTGGCCTAGAAACCGCGTTTTTAGTTTGATATCCGTGTCTTCCTCCATGACCATGCTGCAACAATACTATTAGGCACTTATTAATTTCCTAGACAAACTTCAGCAGATGACGACAATTTGAGAAAGTACAAGGCTTTAGGTAATGATAAAGAAACAAACGGAAAATTCCCAAAAAAACCGAAAATATTTCGTGATCGGAGCAACAAGCGTTCAGAAATTGCGAAATTCTCCGCAGCTCGGTGAAATCGTTAAATCATAATATAAAGAGGTCATAGTTCAAATCAAACTACCTTCCAATCTTAATATAAGCCATATCGTTGTAATATAACTTCAAACCCTTCCCAGGGCTTTATAAGGTATCGATTTGATAGGTTCTGCCTCCATCGATCGATAACGTTAAGTGATTTACTTACTAGTACTAAGGAATTTCAATGAAAGAGCTGAGTAGGCAAGTCTGTTTTGCTAGATTCTGACGAAATGTACCCTGAACCTGAACCTTATAGAGCCCCCTTATAAACTGGCAAAGGCTTGAATTGCATAGCAAAAAAAAAACAGTATAAAGTAATACAACATGTTTT